TGTGCCACTGAATTAGACGGGGCCAAATTCAACCCGTTAAGCCCCACCTATGGAAAATATTTTTGTAGCGTGCGCCCCCCGTTTTCCCGTTTCAACCCCCGCTTTCATTGTTTTATCAAAGAGGCAGATGCAAACTAATGGTTATTGATACCTTTTTGAAAAAAATAGATTTCGAGAAATTTGTCCCCGGAATGCCCCGGCTGGCCCCGGTTATTTAGATAGGGCCAGGCGGGGCTGGTGCTGACAGGGTATATCGCTGTTTACATAAACAGCTTTTCCTGCTACCTTTGCTGTAGCGTCCGAATAGAAGGGGGGCGGTTAATTCGACACCGGGTTATTACTTTGATGTACTATATTGATCGGGCGAATAGGTGATGATTGATATGAGTGGAGACATGGTGATCATGGTGTTCAAAGTCGTCAAGGCAGTAGACTGTGCTCTTCAAATGGCTGATTTCTTTGAATTGGCAGAAACGACCCATCCCCGAGGTCACTCATACAAACTGAAGAAACACTATACCAAACAAGAAATGCGGGCTAGCTTTGTCTCCCACCAGGCCATTGAAGACTTGCTGAAAGCGTTGACGTATGTAAAAGAAGACTCGATCACATTTTACATGCTGGTCATACATTTGGTAGACAACAACGATTTATATGATGTACACATATGGCTTTGAAACACATGCATGATTTGACAGCATCTATCTGTAAATAGGGGTTTCAAAGGCTCTGCCTATCTCCATTATGTATACATAATTATAAGGATGCACGAATGGGCTTGTGCTCATTGTCCGGTCAGGTAGGAAGCGATTCGTGTGGGGCGATTCGGAACCGTAATTCTGAAATAAAGGTGTGTTCTAAAAGATGTCATAGTCTCGTCTAGCAAAGCAAAAAGTGGATCTTATCTGACTCAACAGACACCCAATCCTGATCTGACATTTCAGAAGGAATATGGATAGCACTAGAGTGTTTATTAATAACATGGGAAATGGATCTAGGAGAAAGCTAAACCGGAAACGATAGAAAAACAAGTCCAAAACGAACGAAGATAAGAAACGTGCGAGAAAACGGTAAGAACGTCACAAAAATAGGGAAGAACTTACGAGGGTACCTACCACACTTTGATACTAATCTAACAAGCGGACCCACTAAATTTCCCGCCAAAAACCATGAGCAAGACTTCTTTCTTATTCTAGAAGATGATTGAGCAACTCAGCTACATATTGAAGTCGGCTCGGATAGGGTGCCCGATGAAAAACACGGGAGTGCGTATGCCGATGCTGCGTATAAGTGATTAAAACGGAGCAACAATTCAGAAGGGGGCCAGTACACAGCCAGTAAACCACATACAAACGTGGGCTTCACAAATCCTTGCTCTGAAGAAAGATATCCCAATGTCACTAACAAGCCTCCTATTAGCAGCATTATCAAGGAAACAAACCACAATTGCGCGGACGGGGAATTACAACATTCGCCTGTAAACTGGAAACGCAAGATCGTAATAAAGGGTGCTCCTGAGTCCACGGCGAACACTCCAAAAGGACCAGAGACACATGACATTAATTTTTTTCATAATTATGTGGACAGTATCTTGCAGGATAGAGGGGGGATCATTACATTACAGAAAGCTTTCCGACTTGGCAGAGCAGAACCAAGTCGTGATATAAGATTATCCCCAGGATCCCTTAAAGTAGTCTTGCAGAATGACGCCCAGGCAGCGCTTCTACTAGGACGAAGAATGGCCTCGAAAAGACCTCGCACAAAACAGTAGTTTTTTTCAGCCGGATTAGGAAATGAGGGAAAGAATGAAAAATGCGGGAACTGAGGAGGGACGTGAAAGAGAGGATGGACAGAGGGGAAATTGGACTGAAAATCAAGGATGGGAAAATAACTCAGCTAAAGAAGTCATATTGGTGGGAAACACCCATAACAATGAAGGCCGGGTCTCGCCAACGCGACCAGCAATAAACTTGACCGAGACGAGATTGAGTGAAACCAAGAACATGGCGATGATATATTCAGAGTCTATCCAACAAATCAGATGAGCTCAAACTGGCCGTGGACCATCTTTAAACTGACCTGATAGCCCTAACTAAAACAGGTTAACTGAGCAAATAACAGATGTAGAAGTCAGCCTTGAAGGATTTCAGCTTATTCGCATGAACCGAAATGAAAGTCAGGGTGAGGGAAGGGCAATGTTCATACGAGATGGCACCGACTACGTCCCAGGCAGTTCGCCATCACGAAGGAACAATTCCGGCGAAACACGTAACTGTAAGCTTGTAGTACCAAACCAACCAGAACTCCATATTGCTCTAGTATACAGACCACCAGGACACGAAACGGACGCGGACGATGTGTCGAAAGGAGAGATCATCGACTACAGAAGGTTCCCCAAGTCAAGAAGTCAGTAAGACCAAATAGGTAGGACAGTATACATACTGTGAAAAGGAGTTAACAAAAGGCTCTGCAGAAACAAGGCGCGCACAGTGAATAAGCCAGTTGACGTGTGTCTGGTCTGTGCGTCCGCGCAGAGGTTACGGGATGCTGGGAGCGCCCACCAGCCAATCAGTAGAAGGTACATAGCTCGCGGGAGAAAAGGCTAGACATCGAAACGATCTTGACGCTTCACGCGATGGCCATGCCTGCATTGTTTGCGGCCAAGGCCTGATGAGTCACGCTGGGCGTTCCAAGGAATTGGTCCAGAGCGCGCGCAGTGGAGAGTCACGTGTGGGCCTGCGATAAAAGATGAAGATGAGACAGTTAATAATAGAGCTGGAAAACCGGAGAACCAATGGCGAGAAAAATCTCAAAATAAGAGAGGGACAAATAGTTT